TGGCTCCTCCCCTTCAGGACCATCCAGGACATCAGCTAGCTCCTCCCCTTCAGGGCCATCCTGGACGGCAGCAGACTCCTCCCCTTCAGGGTCGTCATAGACGGGGCCCGGCCCCTCCCCTTCAGGGCTGTTCAGGTCGGCTGCCGGCTCCTCCCCTTCGCACACGGCAAGGAGGGATTTAAGGGAGCAGAATTGTTTGTTCGGCGTCCGACCGTTGTGAATGGTGCACGCGGAACATCACCTAGGAGAGTCTTTCCTAAAGCAGCAGCACCAAGGAGACCCACCATTGAACCCCACAACCGCAAGTAGCCTAAGGGCATTTTGGACTGTGATCCAGTGGCTTAGGTTATAGAGATCAGCTTGGCATATTGCTGAAGAGAGATTGATTGCATTGTATTCTACTGAGCTTAAGGACTTTTGCTGATAGGGAAAGGTGTGTTGTTCCAGCCAATACCTCTGACATAGCATTCCTGCACAGTCTGTTAGCCTCATAACCACTGATGACTCCTGCTGAGCACTATTCCTGTGCCTTGTAACCATTGTAATCTGAGTTTGGGGAATTAACCTCTGCTCTGCTGGGGAGCGCTGCTCAATTACTTACTGGAACTTGAATTGTCAGCAATTTCTCATTAACCCATTACATACAACTGTGTGTCTAACCCCTGCTGAAGTGATGTTGTGTTGAACTGTGTGGCATATCTTCCTTAAAAACTGAACCTGTCTGTACTGTGTATGATAACGGGACTGGGAAGGTCTGCTGAACTTAGTTCAGCTTAACTTAACGTGGGGTTAACAAAGAAACACATGTTGTGTTCACATGCTCTCACGCTATAAAACATAGTACCACTATAGCTAGCCAAAGTGACGGGGGATAATGTAACTGATTCCAAACCCTCCATTAAACAGTATATGGAGTGTGAAGGAAGGAATCAAAACTGATCCCCGCCATTAAATTAGCAACCTCCACAGTTGAGCGTCCACTTACAACCAGACGGGTCATTACAGCAGGTTAAGGGCACCCTCAAGGCACAATGTTTGAAGGCATTTTTCATTTGATGTTAAAATCACGGTTCCTTTAAAAATGTTTTTTTTTCATTGATAACTGTCCCCCAGAGAAGTACCCGGACCCCCATACACCTTTTATGGCCAATAACATGCATATAAGCACTCTTAAAGGGGAAAATCATTTTCAAAAGTTCGACCCCCATTGACTTGCATTAGCTTTGAGTTCGTATTCTAACTTTTCGGTCGTTCGGGTGTTCGAATACGAACCGAACACGGGGGTGTTCAGGCAATCAGTATTGACCAGCTCACTTTCATAAAAATGAACCAGTCCTGGATCAGCAGTGCGTACAAAACCTCTGCTAACCAATATAACCGACACAATAATATGTAATATTATACCTTACAGCAGGGCTCAAAATTTCAAGTTCTGAGCTACTAGCCAGGCCTTAAGAGTTACTAGCCACCAGTTGCCCCACCTAACCCTTACCCTGCCCCGGCCTTAACTCCACCCCTAAACACAACCTCTTAAATAATTTTATGATAATTCATATCTTATGATATCTTATGATAGTTTCCGCTTGTAAACAGAAGATTAGGGATTCCTGCTGCAGGAAAACGCAAGTTCCTGACACAGGAATCCCTAACACACCTGAAATATACTGTAGGTGTGAATGGGGCCTAATATACACATACACTAAAGGTGCCCATACACCTGCCGATTATCGTACGATAGTTGTGGGTGATCCTGCGATTGTACGATAATTGGCAGGTGTATTGGCATTACAGTAGAAGCGGTTGCACGTCTTTCGTCTACCAAGCACGCTGGAAAACGTGACAAAAATCGCACAATTTTCGGCGGGATGGTAGCGTGGTCGGAAGACGAATGCAGCGTGGGCCAGTGTGCGCAAGTGCACACTGCCCGCTCTGCACTGCAATCATCGGAAGCCCTCCCCTCTCTGTCCAAGATGGCCAGATCGTACGAAATTTTAATGACCTTAGGCTAGTCGTGCGATGGTTGTAAGGTGTATGGGCAGAACTGGACTATTTGAAATTGATCATGCGTTAACTTTGAACCCCTACCATAGTAGTATATGGCAACAAAACATTATTAGAAAGATGGGCTATTTCATTGTACAATGTTTGTATTTATTAATACAATGTTTTTAAACTATTTATGAATAAAAGATATGACTTTGTAGCCCAATTATTTATTTGGAATTACGATTATGTTGTATAAAAAGTCCCAAATAATATACACAATTGTGGTTTATTAAATGAAAGAGATGTTGATATCACAACATTGATTATAGAACATGAATATTCTGCTTACTCATATGTATTATATGTGATTACTTTTATCAAAAGTCATAGAACCTTTAATAACATGTTCATATCGCTTTACATTGTGTTTGCAAATTTCAATGCATTGCTTGAAAAAAGTCGAATATAATATTAATTTATATTCCAACAGCTTAAATTTTAAGATAATTTGAGGTTGTAATTCTCAACACTTATATAAAAAGGTTACTTTATGACTGTATATTTAGCACTCTGAAAGTGAAAAAAAAAACCTTTTACAGCCATCTTTATGCTATAAATTTGACAAGCTTTTCTATTCATGATTATTTCCATTAGTAAGAAGGAGCAGAGATCATCACAATAAAAGTATGCAAAGGCCTAATAGACACACATCTGCGCTCCTGGAGTTCAGCAGAGAGCAAACCTTAATGGATTTTTAAACACACAAAGTGTATTGGCTAGTAGCAGCAAAACAGCATCTTTGCAAAGGCAAAAAATATTTAAAGCAGAACTTATATATTTATTTGACCGTATATAATTTTTTACATATGTACAAGTACAGAATAAGCATCTATCTGAGCAATATATATTGAATGCAAGCACACTTTTTGCATAATTATCAATAAATATCAAAGAATAAATTTACATAGAGCTACATTGTTTAATATGTAGAACAAAGAATTCCTAACCTGCATAGTTTCTGGAGTTTTCTGTAAATGGAATCATCTGTAGCCAAGATTAAGGCTATATTTTGAAAAAAGATGCCCTGGACAGTGCATGTCAGTATGCCATAGTCAGTAGGCACCCCACAATCACATTCCTTCTTAAAAATCACACCTTGTTTTAAAGGAATCTATTTATAAAGGGTTCATGCCCATTGAATCCTTAATGTTTTTTTGCGGTTATGACATTCAACAACATTCCCCTGGCATGCCACAGTCACATTCACTGTGTTTATAACATCCAATGAATGACACAATTCTGTCAAATCCTCTTTTCTTTCTTCTTTATTAAGGGACACGGGATCAGAAGTAATTCACAGACAAATGCGTTATATTGCCACCTAAAGAAGGAACTGAACTGTGGCAGAAAAAAAGGCACTAGCCATTCTGGTATAACCCCTCCCACGTCCATCAAGCTTCAGTTTTTCCTGATAATGCAGTTTTTTGGGGTTATAGTGTCAGCCACCAGACTTTTCTTAGAAGAAAGACACTGATTGCACATAGATGTCTTTCTCCTAATCCACCTATTATTAAAACTTGAAAATCCCCCCTTCTCCCAGGAAGAAATATTAGGTGATATCCTTAATCTTAAACCAGACAAAAGCCCAGGTCCGGATGTGTATACTGGCTCCTTTTACAAACAATTCAAAGACTCACTGTCCCCTATACTTGATCAGACCTTCAACTCCATCTCCAGCGATTGTAAATTCACCCCTCAATCCCAAGAGGCCCACATCACTGTTATACTAAAAGCTGACAAGGACCCTTCCCTCTGTTCCAGCTATAGACCTATATCGCTAATCAACGTTGACATGAAAATATTTGCTAAGCTCCTTGCTAACAGATTGGGACAATATATATCATCCGTGATCCACCAGGAACAGGTTGGATTCATCCCCTATCGTGAAGCTAGAGATAATACAATCAAAACCCTGACTTTACTTAAACATATTAGATCCTGAAAAATACCCCTATGCTTTTCTCTTCAACACCCTTGAACAAATTGTCACCCCTTCCCGTTTCCTCTCACATATCAAAGCCCTATACCATCGCCCCACGGCCAGAGTTCGCATTAATGGCCTTCTATCAGAACCCATCCATACACATAATGGTACCCGCCAAGGATGTCCTCTATCACCGTATCTATGTGTTCTTGCCATGGAACACCTTGCAGAGGCCATTATTATTATACAGGATTTATATAGCGCCAACAGTTTGCGCAGCGCTTTACAATATAAGGAAGACATTACAATCACAATACAATTCAAGACAAGATGGGAAGGAGGCCCCTGAGTGCTTACAATCTAAAAGGGATGGGGAAGTGATACATGAGGAGGGAGCTGCGTGGGGATGAATTGTTTGAGAACGTGATGGTTTAGCGGTTAGGTTGAGGTGGGATAGGCTTCCCTGAAGAGATGAGTCTTTAGGAACCACCTAAAGGCAGTCAAGGTGGGCGACAGACGGACAGGTTGGGGTAAAGAATTCCAGAGGATGGGAGAGACTCTAGAGAAGTCCTGGAGGTGAGCATGGGAGGAGTTGACAAGGGAGCTGGAAAGCAGGAGGTCTTGGGATGAGCGGAGCCGACGGTTAGGGTGCTACTTTGAGACCAGGTTTGAGATATAGCCGGGGGCAGAGTTGTGGATGGCTTTGTAACTGATTGTAGAGTGTGTGTGTGTGTGTGTTTTCCTATTATACACCTCTGGTTGAATGTTTGGATTTTAATATTTGCTTCTGCATTGCTTGATTTTCTTTAAAAAGGTGTAATAGCATATTTGATCATCATATTGCAGCTGTTATTTGAATTATATGCACTAATGATTTTACTATGTGTACTGTTGTTTACTAGTGCCCTAGTATGAGCTCAGTGGTCAGTGCAGTGGATTTTTGATGACTAATAAATAAGATAACCAGAAAAGTGGTTTACTGGTTGTTGTGGTAAAACAAACCTGTAATTTAATATTTCTTTTTTTTCAGCTTGTGAACAGCTGTCTTTAGGAGTGGCTGCTATATTTGGACCTTCCCACAGTTCTTCAGCAAATGCAGTGCAGTCTATATGCAATGCACTTGGCGTTCCACACATCCAAACTCGCTGGAAGCATCAGGTTTCAGATAACAAGGATTCTTTCTATGTCAGCTTGTACCCAGACTTTTCATCACTTAGTCGAGCAATCCTTGATTTGGTGCAGTTTTTCAAATGGAAGACAGTGACTATCGCTTATGATGACAGCACTGGTAAGAACAACTTCTTATAGACAGACTGAAAGTGTTCAATGGAAGTGATAAATATATTTGCTACAATTAATAGATTTAACCACCTAGTCTTTAACCATGTCGTTTTCTTTTAAACTTGCCTTGTTTGAAAGATCTAAAACAGTCTGAAGAAACTATTGATTTAGCTAGATCACTCGTTTGACCTTCTGTCTGAGTAAACAACATAGAATTTTCCTCTCTGACCTTCTTAAATGTTAATCGAACCCAATCCAAGTCACCAGGGACCCAAGTTACCACTCTTTTTTTAACATGCTGCCTCTTTGTATTAAAATATGTCTTAATGTAATAATACATGTATTAGATAACAATATTTGTTTACTTTTGATGAACCTGGAATAGGTATATTGGTCAGGTACTAACAGTTTCTCCATGTTCTGCTTTATTATGTTTCATTATCTGAAATGTCTTACTAAATAGGGATGAGCTACCAAATTAGCAATTTACTTTAAATAGCATATCAGGATCAATGCAGGATCAATGCATGTTCATACTCATGTTCATGTTTAAAAATTACTGAAAAGGCCCTCTCACTTTCCAAAATTACAGCCCTTTTTGCGGCAAATTTTCCAAATTTATAACACTATGCAGGCAACTGACCTGGATGTGTCTCCTGAGATTGCCCTTTTATCAATGCTCTCTGGATCCCTTAAAAGCATTAAAAAGGATGTCCTCTGTCATTGCCTGACAGCTGCCCGGATGGTGATATCCAGGCATTGGAATTACACCACCACCACTCCTAGCCTCACAGCATGGGCTTCCTGTATGAATGAGCTACAGCACATGAATAGTTTGACTGCGGAAGCCAGGTTGACTGGCCACTCTTCCCTCACTGCAATGTGGACTAGTTGGTTTTTGTACAGATCTTCAGATGCTTTCTGAGCATTGTTGTCTTGAAGTACTGACCTCGTTTTGCTTAAGTACTGCTTTCTATCTCATTCTCTAAAAGTGTTGGACCTACCACCGCCTGTTTTTTTCTGCCTTTTGTCTACTTGTTTCCCTTTACCCCTTCTTTTCTCTTTGTTGTGCCTTCTTCCTCCTGTTCTCTGATTCTCCTCCTGGTCTCTTTTCTGTCTTCCTTTCTCTTGTAATTTTTTCCTCCTATTTGCTCTTAATTATTATTATTATTATTGTCTTTCTTATTATTTTCCTCTGCCTATACACCAGTTGCCTACTGTATTCTGGGGGTTGATGGACATGTTTTTTTTTTATTGCCTTGATGTCCTAGATGTTTGAATCTATTTCTCTTGTTGTTGCCATACTGTGTGTTACTGGTTATTCTTACCTTTCTTGTTTATTTTTATATGTCACTTGTTTTTTACATTTTGAAAAATTAATCAAAATATATCTTTACCTTAAAAACATAAAAAAATAACCTAAAAGCAATGAACATGGGCTAGGATAAATATTAAAACCCATCACTATGCAAAACCATTTTTTAACCCTAACCTTCTCCTCACCCCCATTCTTTTCACAAATCTTGATCGTCATGCTGAAAAACTTCTTTAATGTCCATGTAATGCCATCAACTGTCTTATTATTATTATACATGATTTATATAGCGCCAACAGTTTGTGCAGCGCTTTACAATATAAGGAAGATATTACAATCACAATACAATTCAAGACAACTTTGGGATCTTCTTTCTTGAGTGGCAAAGGGAGGGGTCTGCAGGGCTATGTCATATGGGCACACCTTGCAGATCTAGCGGGGAGCATCCAGCACACAAATAGCCGGAGTAACTGCTGTCCTCAACAGGAAATATTGCTACTATAACAGTTAGCAGACAGAATTTTTTAAATAAGCAAGGGTAAGGAGCTGTTGGGAGCATTATGAAGTGCCCTAATATAGCTAGGACATTTGGTTATTTTTTATTACTGACCCAGACAACAGCTTCAAAGCTTAACACTTTGTATACGCTGAACAATTAGTGGTAATTCTGGTGCAGCTGTACTTCCTTGTATTTGATGTAGTTAAACTCGTAGTCATGGCTGAATTATCATCATTAGAACCTTGCAGCCAAAGCAACACACCTCAGTTAGAAACAATTCCTTTACACAGAACACTTTCTTGTTTTATTTCTTCTAAACTTGTCTTACAATAGTGTGACGAAATAAATAAGCCTAAGTGAGATGACTGTATCTCTATTAATAAACAGAAAAAATGTGTTGGTGATAATAAAAGGCTGTTTCTTAGCCACTGCCACTGATAGGAAAAGGTATTTTGTGTTTAATGGTAAATTTGACTTCGATTTTAGTGCTCAAATGGACACAGAAATAGAAAATTTGAAGTTTAGGGATTTATGAAATTACTCTGTGCTATATACATGCAATCTTGCAGATTCCAAATGCAAAGTTTAGTATATGCAAAACAGAGCACAGTGCAATGTGCTGCTTTTCATATACTGTAGATTTCCATAATTTGCAGTCTTCCCACACCTGGTCTCATTTATGCTCTGTGTTTCATTTGCAACAAGCACAGTGAATTGCAAGGAAGAACTGTAGACAAATACTGAATACTGAGACTTAGTAAATCAGCCAAATGTGTCTTTGTTAAGCTTTGATTTTAATTAAGCTGTTTCTGTGGAATAGCTGATTGCCGTATTCTGCTTAATAGCATTATAGTTGCACCATAAAGCTGACTATATGCTGTAGAGATGCCACAGAAAGGCTTATTTTATTGATGACCACCCTTGTTTCGCAGTCTACACAGAAATGATACATGACATGGGCAAAATGTTATTAATAAGCGTATTAGTACTGCTCATGGTTAGAAACAGTAGAATTGCTATATTTTAATAAAGCTCTCATATAAAAGTGAATAGAAAATGAAAACAGTAGAATTACAGAAGGATTTGATTGGTTCTACACATATTATATAATAGAGACATCTGGTAGTGGTTTTCGACTAAAATGCTTGAAACAGAGGTTATAAATACTGCAGGAGATGGGAGGTCAAAAGTGCTGCAGACAAGACTAAATCCTATGTGGTGGTGATCTAAAGTGCTATGTGAGTAGCCTGGCATCCTTTGAGGGGGGAGCATGTAAAATTGTAAAGGGAGGTGAAGTCTGAGGTGTTTTCTTATTGAATGTGAAATGTTGCATGAGGGGAAATCTTAGATGCTGATGTGGGATCTGAAGTCCTGCAAAGGAAATCTGGAGTGATGCACAGGGGATGAAGTCAGTAGGTTGAGTTAGGGGGTTGTGAGATAAAGGGGTTGATTTACTAACCTTATAAACACACCACGAACAAGTATACACCTCTGTAGTGTGTTCCCTCCCAGCATGATCTATTGGTGGAATCTAGACACCTTTGTAGTGTGTACACACCCAGCAGGTGTGTTGTGCAAAGCCCTGCATGAATTGCAAGGTGATGTTGTGTAAATTAGCTCTACATTGTGTTGCTTGCGTTGATGATTGCAGGAATGTAAATGCATGAGCTAACCATTTTTGTCTAAACTGTGAAGCAGCATTATATATGCATCATGTGCATGATTTTTCCATATATGGCATTAGTGGAAATATGCTTTTAGAGACTTTTTGGTTGATAAATATGTTTTGCTGTGTAAAAACCACACGCACCTAGTGCGTGCGTGTGTTTAGGTTAGTAAATCACCCCCAAAGAGTTAATATGTCCAAGGTAGGGGGAGGCCAAGAATTGGCAAATATATCATATCAGTCATTGATATCATAATGTGTGGTTGAATGCAGCTGGATGATCTTCTGAGTAACATGGTATAACATACTGTGTAAACTGTAAAATCCACATGAAGATGTGTTAATTTAACAAATCTATTGTACATTTGTTTATCTTAACTGTTGGCTAATGCTGGGAAAGACAGAACGCTGGGAAATACAATTCTAAATGTGGCTGGTTTAAGGCACATAGATCTGGATTTGTGAATACATGCACTATTTTTATGTTATCGTGTTATATTTTATTCACATATACAGTATAATAGAAAGAATTTTAAGTTGCATGTGTTTATTGTTAGTAGAAGCATAGTATTCTCATCTTTTTTATTTGTCTTCATGCCATTTTGTTTTAGATTTCCAACTGATTACATGTTTTTCAAGTACCAAAGCATATAAGTTCTAACTGCTGGTAGGAGAATAGGTTATTTAGAGCAGGCCTTCTTAAACTTTCTCCACTCGTGACCCCTTTTTGGCCGAGGAAATTTTTAAGGGACCCCAGCGTCGGACCGTGTCTCTCCCCTCTTTCCCCCAATGTCAGTCAGTGTCCCCTCTTTCCCCCAGCGTCAGTCGGTGTCTCCCCCCTCCACTAGCGTCAGTTGGTGTGTCCCCCCCTGCGTCGGTTGGTGTCTCCCCCCCCCCTGCTTTGGTCAGTGTCTCTCTCCTCTTCTCCACCAGCATGGGTCAGTGTCTCTCTCCTCTTCTCATCCCTCCCCCCAGCGTCGATCAGTGTCTCTCTCCTTTTCTCTCCCCCCCAGTGGTGATGGCGGTCCTGGCCGGGGACTCAGATCGCGACCCCCCCTGTTCACTTGCGGGACCCCATATAGGGTCGCGACCCACACTTTAAGAAGCACTGATTTAGAGTACCAGGGGCTTAATCTAGGCTCTTTGCTTGCCTTAACTTCATAGCAGTTTTAGGGTCCATTCACATCACATCCAGATCATCTCCAGACCAGATTGTTTCCAGACCCAAAATGCATCATCATGTATACCTATGCCAATTCCTGCTTCTGTTCACACCAGCCCAGTCCGTTCCAGACCAGACCAGAAAAATACTGCATGTCTCATTTTGTCTGGTCTGGAATGCACAGGGATGCATGGAAATGCATGAAAAATGCATACAAATGCATGCAAACACACTTGAACACAACTGAAAGCCCATTTTAAGCTTAAAAAACCCCCAGCTATGGAACGCAGCAAAATCATGGTAAAAACCTGTCAAAAAGCAATGCACTGCATTCCAGATCTGGTACAGAACCTGCCCTTAGTTGA